AGTGGTCTTTATAAAGGGATTACATATAAATTACTTCAATCTGTTTTAACAGCAGCGTTCTTATTTATGTACAAAGAAGCATTCTTTGCATATAGTGTTAAATTATTGAAACTCATTAGATCCAAGTCATTGGTATCTAAATAGAAAGTTTTCATGATACGTATACATATATCGGGCATATAGTATTATTATTAGTGTAATGTAATTTTTGATAACTTTAAATCATAAATAAATGTTGGGCATGTGATAAATTAATGTTTTTCGGTGTTACAAGATGTTCAGATAATTACTACTACGTATAAAAAAAAATTTATCATATTAAATTTTTATCATTAAATTTTCTCCAAAAGTTGCTATAATGAGTTTCTTTACTAAAGTTGCTAGAAGTGCTTTTAGTCGCGCTCCAGGTAACTTGTTTATTGCGCCCATTTCTATTTCATAGTTTTTATCATAAAAAATGTTTGTTATAAAGCACTCACCAACCTTTTAGCATTTTCGCAACTGCGAATTTATGTTTGCAGCTCGTTGGTATGCCACCGAGACGTCGGCTAGCGTGTCTGGGTTGCGATTAAGCTTGGTACTTCCACATCAGGTAATTCTGATATATTATTTATAAGCTCATTTTATAGCATAGAGTTCTGAAAGAATAACTAATTTTTTATTTTTATTATAGACAATTTATAAAGGTGTAGAAGTTCAACAAGTTAATATTGCAGCAACTTCTGGTGATATGGGTATTTTGGCCAGCCATGTACCTTCGATCGAACAATTGAAACCAGGTGTTATTGAAGTAATTGAAAATGCCAACACTACGAAAAAATTCTTTGGTAAGTAAATTAAATGAATTAAATTAATATATCCCTTAAATTGTTTTATTCCATCAAGTAAAAAAAGTATAGAATATTCGCTATAGATAAAATTTGTAGATGTCTTAATGTTATAGGACAAATGATTATATGTATTTAGTTAGTGGTGGATTTGCTATAATGAATCCCAATTCCTCGCTTGACATTAATGCCGTTGAAGCCTATCCTCTTGAAGAATTTTCACCCGAGGTATTTTTAAAGAATTCTAATTTTTTTTTTTAAGAAATTTTAAACTGAGTTTTATACACATTGAGATTTTTTTTTTCCTTTTTAAAATTTGTTAAAAGGCAATAAGAGCAAATTTAGCGGAAGCGCAACGAACTGTGTCGTCATCCGGATCTTCAGAAGAAGTAAAGAATATCGCAAGGATTGAAGTTGAAGTTCTTGAAAGTTTACAGAATGCATTAGGCAGCAAATGATCCTCCCAATAATATTTTTAAATAAAGTTTATTTGAATATATTGTGAATATACTTTTATTTTAGTTCTTTTATATAAAGTTTTTTGATGATAATTTTGTTATAACAAAATTTGTAAATATATTTAATATCTCACATGATTAGAAATATATCATAAAATTTGAATGAAAAATATTAATATTGTAATAAGTGAATAAAATGAAAATGAATCAGTTATTTAATTATACGTAATAAATGATATCTGATATATAGCAATAATATTTACTGATTTTTCCTCTTCGAGACACTAACACTAAAGGTTAATTTTTAATTTTTTTTTAAAGTTTGCCTTGGCTTTTATTCATGTGTTACAATGTGCGGTGTTAAAATTCCGAGAAAATGGGAGTACAGAATTGTCGTTATACTGTATATTTAACGTTATATGGCTGCATTTAATTAAATCAAGTCATGTGAATTGTGTATTGCCAAGTCAATAAATGAATGCCTAACGCTAATAATAGATACTCTATGTGTAAAAAATATAAAATCGTTACTTTTCTCTTTAATTACCATTACAGTAATAAACAATTTACTAGCCAGCGTTTATTATAAATAAGTTTTCACCAATAATGCAAAATCTCTCAAACAAGTATGAACTTGTTAAAAATGACGTTAAAGGTGAAGTCGAAATTAAAGATTTAGAAACTAAAGAAATAATACATAAAAAAATTAGAAAGAAGGTAAAAACTCACTTAAAATTTTCTTATTTATTAAAGTTTATAATTAATTTTTATATATAACTATACAATTTTTTTTTGACCTGATTTGCTTTTTCGCATAATAGGTTCCAGGTGGTTATTGTTCAAACTTAATTGAGCCAATAAACGAAGTACTTCTAGGTGAAATACAGGGTGACAGTACAAAAGCAAAATTAAAAAAAATTTTATTATACGAGGTAATATTTTTTGTTGAAATCTTATTCATTGAAATTACATAAATATATATATATATTTTTTTTTTTTTCAAAATAATAATTTTATTTTTTTTTCTCAATTAATATCAGCCTGATGATATTATCGAATTAAAAGATTCAGGAATACTTAGTTTTGAATATAAATTTAAATGGGAAAATGAAAAATTTGTTTGTAAAAAACGTGTATTCTCTAAGGAATTAGAATGTAAAATGGTACAAGCTGGAGATGAACCTGATATTGGTATCGCTTTATATCAACCAAAAAAAAAAACTCTTGGAACTGTGGAAATTATGTCTGATAATATGAGTCGTCTTAATATTCAAGATCGACGTGGACTTGAATACGTTTTATTAATATCTATACTATCTTTTTTGGATAAATCTGATGATGATCGTATTTCAAAGGGAAAAAATGAATTTATTTTGGGTGAAGAATCAAAAGGAAATGTATTAAAAGAAGAATTAAAAACATTAGAAGAAAAAGATAAAAAGAAAAAAGAAAGAGATGATAAAAAGAGTAAAAAGCAAAATGAACGAATTTTCAAAGAATTGGCTGAAAAAGAAAAAGCTGAGAAATTATTACAAGAAAAGAGGGATGAAGAATATGCAAGAAAATTATTGGAAGATCAACGTTTAAAACCTCCATCAGATACAACAGGCTATTATTATGGACCACGGTCTAATTCTTTAACATCTGCTTCACCCAGAGTTTACCCGCCTCCATCATCAGAATCGAGTCGCGCAACTTATTATGATGATAACACATTTCAAACTCGTAAACAAAAGCTTGCAAAGCACAAACCTAAAGAATATACGAATGAATATGGATGGTAATCATATGGATCAACGTTTTTGTATATCGTTAATTTAGTATTAATTCCATATTATTTCAATTTGTTCATGTACATGCATGTCATATTTTTGATAGAAAACTATTTATCTTTATTATTTTATACGAACAATACTTAACATACATGAATGTATATATACATTTTAAAAACATTAAACATTTTTGATATAATAATCTTATAATAGAGTAAACTATTAATTAAATAATAATGTTGAATCGACTATTGCATACATACTGCAAGCTCACTACCCATAAAGTAAAGTCCTAACCACATTCATTACATTCTTAAATCAACTTACTTTACCATTATTAACTAGTTACGGTTTCTTTACCTTTATTTATTTGTGTATACATTTTGTCAATTCTATCATGAACTGTCTTTAAAGTTACATTTGTTGTCGCTAGTCTTTTTGTAGCAGAAATTAATTTTTGAATAGAAGGTTGAATTGTAGGTTGTTCCGTTGTATCAACAAATAATTGAAGCTCTATCATTTAAACATTTTTTTTTTTTTTAATAACATTTATTTAATCATTATTATTTCTAAAAATATAAAAGTTTTAAACAAGACGTATTTTTTAAACATACCTGCTAATAGTCTTTCAATTTCTTTATTTAATTCTAATTGACTTGATTTGACTGCAACAACCCTAGAATCCATTTCTTCTATAATTGGTGTTAAAAGTGTCATTAAACCTTTGGAAAATTTATCTTTATCTGTTAAAGACATATCTTCAAGTTTTTCACTAGGTTCCATTTTCGTAATATTTTATATCAGATATGTTATTTTTTTTGCGAATTATGCAAATTTCATATCGAGTATACTGTACGTATAATAACTGAAATAACAATTCCCGTGATATTACGATCTGGGTGTAACCGTGACATAACGCTTATTTTCAAAATTTATATTTTACTAGAAAACTGTTAACTAATTCTAATCTAAATGAAAAAGAATTGATCAATCGTCATAATAGGGCCTGGTCCAGAAATTTGTAGCTGCAGGTTTTGTATTATAGGCGTATTATATTAACCTAATACACTAATACTTAATTTAGTAGTATGTTTTAAATAGCAATCTGTATTGGTGTATTGTATATTTGTTCTTGTTATAGAGCTAGTATGATGTTTGTATTTTGAGTAGTAGTATTTCTTACTAGTATTTGTCAAATAGATGATACTATCAGCTATCTATAGATTTGATATTGTATTATAAATACGTAAGATTATAACTAAGTTTGAGTTTTGGCCTTATGATTTTAAAGTTGTTTATAGTTTGACTTGTTTTTTGTTAGTATTAGTTTGTTTGGAAATTGGATGAACTGATAGAATTTATATCAACTCAAAGAACTTTGTAGAAGTTAACTTGCATTCTACTAATATACTAAGTATGTATATAAAAGGTATAGCTTTTTTTTTTTTTTTTTTCAGCAATCATGCTAATACTTTATTTAATCAACAATTTTAATCTATGACTAAAACATTTC